ACAATGAAATTAAAGAATTATACCAACTTATTCGGAGTCCTGATGTGGTACTGTGGGTTAATGCACTGGACTGCAAGTCGGTTTGAACTGCAAGCAGTTCAAGCTCACCAGCCACTCCTCGGAAACCCTATACAGGATCGCTATGGGTCGGAATTGACTCGACAGTACTTAACAACAACAACAATCAACTTCTTCACTCAGAAATTCATCAAACATGCAAATCAAGATGTATTGATAATTACTGACAATTAGAATGCAAAGGTTGGAAACAAAGAGGAAGGAAAATATGGCCTTGATGATAGAAACTATGCTGGAGATAAGATGATAGAATTTTGCAAGACCGATGACTTGTTCACTGCAAATATCTTTTTTAAACAACATAAAGGATGACTATACACATGGACCTCACCAAATAGAATACAAAGAAATAAAATTGACTCCTTCATTGGAAAGAGATGGTGGAAGAGCTCCTTATCATTAGCCAAAACAAGGCCAGGGGCAGACTGTGGAACAGATCATCAATTGCTCATATGCATGTTCAGGCTAAAGCTGAAGAAAATGAAAACAACTGCATGAGAGCCAAAATATGACCTTGAAAATATCCTGAATTTAGAGATCATGTGAAGAACAGATTTGATGCATTAGGCACTAAAGACCAGAAATGCTGTGGGATGACATCAAGAACATCATACAGGAAGAAAACAAAAAGGTCATTAAGAAGACAAGATCAAAGTGGATGTCAGAAAGACTCTGAAATTTGCTCTCCAGCATAGAGATTCTAAAGCAAATGGAAGAAGTGAGGAGAAAATCTCAAAGGTCAGCTCGAAAAGACAAAGTCAAATATTTTAACAAGATGTGCAAAGACCTGGAGTTAGCAAATCAAAAGGGAAGAACACACTCAGCATGTTTCAAGCTGAGAGAACTGAAGAAAAACTTCAAGCTTCAACTTACAATACTGAAGGATTCTATGGGCAAATTATTGAATGGTGCAGAAAGCAAAAAAAAGAAGATGGACGGAACATACAGAGTCACTGTATCAAAAAGAAATGGTCAATGTTCAACCATTTCAAGAGGTAGCATATAATCAAGAGACAGTGATCCTGAAGGAAAAAGTCCAAGATGCATTGAAGGCATTGGCAAAGAACAAGGCACTAGGAATAGGTGGAATACAAATTGAAATCTTTCAACAAACTGATGCAGCACTAGAGGCACTCACTCATGTTTGCCAAGAAATCTGGAAGACAACTATCTGGCCAACTGACTGAAAGAGATCCGTATTTGTGCCCATTCCAAAGAGGGGTGACTGAATTGAATGCAGAAATCATCGGACAGTATCATTGATATCCCATGCAAGTTAAGTTTTACTGAAGGTAATACAAAAATGGCTGCAACCACACATTGACAGAGAACTTCCAGACATTCAAACTAGATTCAGAAGAGGACATGGAACTAGGGATCTCATTACTGACATAAGATGGCACTTGACTGAAAGCAGAGAATACCAGAAAGGTGTTTACCTGTACTTTATTGACTATGCAAAGGCTTTCGAATGTGTGAATCATGACAAGCTATGAACAACATTGTGAGGTGTGAGTATTCCTGGCTACTTGATTGTGCTCATGAGGAACCTGTACATAGACCAAGAGGTAGTTGTTTGAACAGAACAAGGGAATATTGAATGGTTTAAAATTAGGAAAGGTGTGCTACAGGATTGTATTCTTTCACCATACTTATTCATTCTGTATGCTGAGCACATAATCCAAGAAATTGGATTATATGAAGAAAAACATGACACCAGGATTGGAGGAAGATTCATTAATCACCTTTGATATGTAGGTAATATGAACTTGCTTGCTGAAAGTGAAGAGGACTTAAAATATTTACTGAT